ATAATCAGTTCTCAACAATTATTTGTTATTATTAAAGTTTAACATTATAAAATTAACAAAAATAATATAAAATGCATATCCTGGCAAAATAGCCACATGGCAGCCAAAAACCGTAATTCCCTTCCTGTTCTCCCGTGTTCCCTAGCTTGTCATGCATTCTTTCCAAAAATCGGGGCTTTTTAAAAACATCACAGGACGCAGGACAAATTGTTAAAAATTGGCACACATCTGGTCACCTTACTCTAGTGGGGGGGGCTACTTGTTTGTTTCAGACAGTTGGCTCCTTCTGAGCTAATTGTCCTAGAAGCAAGGGAGGGAACCAGTCTCCTTCTGATACCTTGCCCAGGAGAGCAGTAGGGAGTTTACATTAGCCTTTTCATTTCCAAATGAAGTTACATTAATCTCTTCATTCCCAAATGGAGTTACATTAACCTCTTCATTCCCAAATGGAATTACAGCAGCTGAAAACCTTATATTCCCTTCCCATTCTCCCACTGTTCCCTAGCTTGTCATGCATTCTTTCCAAAAATCGGGACTTTTTTAAAACACCACGGGACGCAGGACAAATTGTTAAAAATCGGGACTGTCCCGCCTAAAGCGGGATGTCTGGTCACCTTAACCTAAGCTCCCTCCCCAGTCTCAAAGCTCTACCATCTCTGCAGTCCTCAGCCCCCTCACCCGCTGCAGCTCCTGGTTCTTCTCTTCCAACTGGGCCTCCAGCTGCCGAAGACGCTCTTCAAAATTCCCATGACGTTCCTCAGCCTGGTAGTTGGAACCCATAGCATGTGACTTTACCCCACCAGGATTCAGTCAGCTTCAGGCCTCGCCCCCCAGAGCACCAGGTTCCTCCCCTGCACCAGTGATTCAGACCTTGGCTCCTATACCTAGTTCATTTTCTCAGGACCTGTCCCATCCCTCTCAGGTTCCAAGCCACCTATTTCTTTAGTACAGGCCAGAGAACACCACCCACTCCCACACCACGCAATACTCCAGGCCTTCCCTATTCCAAGTCCTGCCCCTTCACCAGACCCCAGGCCCTTTTCACAGAACCTAGCCTGAAGGTCTGGCTCCTACCCATCCAGACCCACGGCCTCGCCTCCTCTAGGCCCAACACCTTCACTCCATGGACTCCAGGCCCCCACCTGAAGCCTTGCCTCACCTTGTTAAGTGCTGCCACACGCTGGGCCAGTTGTGCCTCTATCTCAGGCAATGTCTCTGCCTTCTGTAGCGTCTGCTGCAGCTTCTGTTTGGCATCATCCAACCATTCAGCCAGCTGACGGCTCTTTTCTTCACTCTAGAAGAGGGAGAGGAGAGGGGCATGGTCGCTTGGGCCACAGCCTCACCCCCAATGCCCCTTCCCGGTTGCACCCCCACCTGCCGGTACAGCGACTCCTTGCTAGCCAGCTCATTCTCCAGCTTGTCGTTGGCATCGTGCAATGATGTGGCCTCACGCTGGGCGCTCAGGTAGCGCTTCTCCAGTGTCGTGATCCTCTCCTCCATATCCTCCCGCTGCGCCAGCGCCTGAAGAGGTGGCAAACGCCCAGTGGACCACAGCTCCCAGAAGCCCCTGGGGCAGCCTAGGCTTAGAACCCCAAGATGAGGCACCCCAAGATATCCTGAAAAGTGAAGTGTCCTGCCATCTGCACATCAGAATAGTGGTACCACACCTGCCAAGAAATCCCAGGACTAGCCCACCTTAAGTCTTCTGCCACCTAAGGGTTCCAATGGAGGTACCACACCTTCCATGAGCTTCTAGGGAAGTACTGGCTTAAATCCTTCCTGTGCAGATGGTATCCAAACTTTTTTTTCACTGCCACACATTAGAAGAATGAGTTGTTTTGTGCTACATATTAAATACACAAACACTAACAAAAGCTGATCAACAACAACAATATGAGGTCTGTGCATACTTTTCATGATATCCAATACCACAGATAAGCAAAAAATGTCCTCAGAAAATTAGCATGGGGCCCACAGGCTGCAGGTTGGACAACCTGAAAAGCTTATGGGAAGGTCATAGGATGTGAAGTCTCCACTCTGAGCCAATCTCCTCCAAAATCCAGGACTTAGATTTCTCAGTAGGTTCTAGCATGAAACAGGCTTAAAATCACAGAACTGTCCTAGGGTCTCATAGGAAACAAAGCTCTCATTTATCTGGAAAGCAATACCACCCAAGAGCCACCAGAGAAGCACAGTCCTAGAACCCTAACAGAGGGGCTCCAGGGTCTCATGGGAAATGAACCCCCATCTGGTATGGACTCTCATCTGGTGGAACTGCACTTCCCAGTAATCCCCACAGTCATCCAGATTTAAAAGCAGAGGTGTGGATAAAGACCATAAAGACCCTAGTGGATGATGAGAAACAAAGTGATCACCCTTCTTTCTCATCCACTGCCTTCCAAAACCCAGGCCCCACATTTCCCAGCAGTTCCCTGGGTCATGGGGATTAGGATCAAGGGGCCTAAGCCAGGAAGAACTAAAATGCCAACAAAAGATTCAATTAGCAGCACCACAGAATATCTCAATTATAACATGATACTATAACCTTTATTGACCACCTGCTGTGTGCCACATGCTAACACTCTGATAAGAGTCATAAATCCCATTTTATAAGTGATGAAACTGAAGCTCAAAGAGGAAAAGAGGTCACACAGCTTGTAGACTGAATCTAGGTTCCACCATTCATGAGTTCTGTGACTTTGGGTAAAGTGGGAAGGGAAAATGGAGGGGAGAGACAGGAGACAGTCCATCAGGGGCTCCAGCCTACCTCCTTGAGGTCCCGTTGCAGCTTGGAGTTAGCTTCCTCAGCCTTGCCCAGCTCGCGGTGAGCAGTGCCCAGCTCCTCTTCCAACTGGCTCATCTGACGGCACAAAACCGCCAGGCGCTCACGAAGCTGGCACACCTCTGCACGCTGCCGCTCCAGGGCCTCCTCCAGCTCCACTGTACGACGGTTTGAATCCCCACCAGGACCCAGGCCATTGGCAAGGGTCTGGAATGAGAGAGGGAAGGGCAGAACCGAGAGTAGGGAGTACAGAAACATAGAAGAAATGAAGAAGAAAGTTGATCAGCTAGGGTGTATTTTGGGTGGGGAAGGTAGGATCCAAGACACTGAGGATCATGCAAGTCAGAATCTACAGGGGTCATCAAGTGTCCCAGAAATTAGCTAGGTGGCCTGAATCAGAGGTCAAAGACTAGTAATGATCTTAGGGGTTCAGATGTCTTAGAGACAGTGACCAGACCAAACATTTAAAAAGACCATCACAAAGTTGGGGAGTTGAGTAGAGGCTGCAGAGAGGGGACTTCCATCTCACCTGCGCATCCCCATCCTTGCCTGGCTCTTCCAGGCCTGACCGTCGCCTAGACAGCTGCTCTCGAAGGCTCAGAGTCTGGAAGAGTGAAAAAGGGATCAAAGCAAAGGGGCTCCTCCAACCTCCAGCTTTACACAGCTTTGGCCCTCATCAGGATAGATGCCCCCATCTGAGATGCCTCTTGTCCTGCTGGGGCCAGCCCTACCCCACCATCTACCCTTAGACTCTGTGCTCCCCATTATCTCTTCACAGCTGCCACTGTCCACTCTTAACCTTTCCCTGCCAGCGGAGGTTTCCTTTTTTTATTTTTTTTTCCAAGACAGAGTCTCACTTTGTCCCCCTGAATAGAATACTGTGGCGTCATAGCTCACAGCAACCTCAAATTCCTGAGCTCAAGCAATCCATTTGTCTCAGTCTCCCGAGTAGCTGGGACTACAGGTGCCAGCCACAATGATCGGCTAATTTTTAGAGATGGGGTCTCACTCTTGCTCAGGCTGGTCTCGAACTTCTGAGCTCAGGCTATCCACTGGCCTCGGCTTCCCAGAGTGCTATGATTATAGGTGTGAGGTTTTCTGGCCAGAGGTTTTCTCTGTAGTCCCAGACTGAGCCTCAGGCCCTGGTTCTCACCGTTGTCTCCACCCTTAGCACTATCCATTGAGTTCCCCCTTAGAAATCCTACTGGTTTCTCTCCACAGGTTCTCTACCCTACTTCTGCCCACTAGGGGACACCCAATCGGTTTCGCCCCATTGACTGCTCTTAAGTGCCTCCCGGTGGAGTCCACCTCCCCTTCTTAGCCACACCCCCACCTCCTGATTGCTCAGCTCCAGCTCCTCCTCTAGTACTGCCACTCTCTCCAGCGCCATCCGCAGCCGCTCCCGGACCTGGGATGGGGACAGGACAGGAGTCAAATGGAGACCACAACCTCCTCCTCCCAATCTAGGACAGTTGACTGTGGCCCTGAGACAGCTCCGATCAGGATTTCTCTCTCCATAATAGGTGCGCAGCCCCAACTAGCTACCTAGACAGCTCCACACACTGGTAGCCCCCACTTTAGTTCATATCTATTCTAAACCAATCAGGTCCCTGTCCGCGTAGCCTGTCCCAATCAATCACAGTCAACGTTCTTCCCACTCAATACATTCCCAAGCAACCACAGCCAGGGTAGCCCAAGTCAACATGGTTTTTCCAATTCCCATACCTTCTCATCCAAGGCCTTGTGGTGCTCGAAGAGGGACTTTAGAGCCTTTAGCACCTCGACCTCGGAGGAGACCCCGCCTGGGGATTGAGCCTGGCGCTTCACCACGGTCATGCGCAGTGACCTCTCGTGCCTGGACACCAGGCACTCCAGGTGCTCCAGGAGGAGCTACAGGGATAGGGGAACGGATCAAGGAAAAGAATGACAGGTGGGACGGACACATGGAAGGACAAATGGAGCCAAGCAAAGGAGCACCGAGAAAGACAGGTAAGGAAAATAGAGAGATAGTAGAGGAAATGTAGGAATCAAGGAAGGGGGTGGTACAGAATTAAGAAGAAAAAGTTATGGAAATAGGGAGGGAACACAGAAAGGTGTGGCACCAGAGGACACCAGCCAGGAAATGGAAGCAGCGTCGAGCAAAAAGATGGGAAGGCAAGATGCTGGGGGTGGGGGTGGGAGAACAGATGGGTTGGGTGGCAACCACGCGAAGCCCCTCCTTCCCAACTTAGGCCCCGCCCCCAACTCGCCTTACCCGCGTGTTGTTCCGCTCTGCCTTCAGCTCTGCAATCTCTTCCTCCCTCTCTAGCAGCTGCTCCCGACATAAGTTCAGCTCCTTTGTCAAAGCTGCAAACTCCTGTCCAAGCATGAGCAGGATTGAGACAATCAGTTCACTCCTTCCCTTATCTCCTTCATTTCGTGGGAATAGAAGTTTAAGGGCCCCGCCCTCCCTGTTAAGTCCGCCCCTTCTTGCCACTGAGGCCCCGCCCATCAACGGCAAGCCTCGCCCAGACTCCTCCCTTCCAAGCGCCAAGCCCTGCCCCTTCCGGGCAGGCCTCTCCACGAGGCCCCGCCTCCCCTCAGGCCCCGCCCCAGACCTGGGGCAGTGCGATGCTGAGCTGACGCTGCAGTGAGTCCTTCTCGTGGCCGAGCTCGCGCAGCCGCAGCTGCGCCGTAGCCAGCCCGTCTTGTGCTTCGCGCAGAGTCTCCAGCAGGCGCTCTCGCTCCGTGAGCATCGTGACCATGAGGCGCTCCAGCTCGCCGCCCGCCTCGTCCGGGCCCAGCGCCGAGCCCCGCCGGCCATCCTCGCTGATAGTGGGCATCACCTCGCACATCATGGCGGCGGTGCCGGCCTGCAGGTGCGGGGAAGGGTCAGGGAACAAACCGGCCTGTCAAGGCACAGGCAGAGAAAATAAGGCATGGCCAATCAGATACTACATAGGGGAAGCCGAGACGAGGCAACCTAGGGACTGTCCAGAAGAAATTGAGGCCGAGCCACTGATCATGACACAGGGTAACTGAGGCACCACAGCCCCAGCGCTCTGGGGGAAACGAATGGGAAACTGAGATCTGTCCACCCTAATCATGGCACAGGATAAAATGAAACCGACTGCTTTTAGAAAAACAGCCTTAGCCACTTGAGTAAGAGAAGAGCATTTGAGGAAACAGGTCAGACTCTATAAGACACTAGCAGCAACCTAGACTTGGCCTACTGAGAAACTGAAGCTGGGTGACCCAGACATTGCCTGAGTGAATGTGGGACAATCTCTATTCTAGCTTTGCTGAGAATTTCCCTCAACCCACTGCATAGGTAGTAAAACTGAGGCCCAGACCAGAACCATGTCTTAAGAAGGTCACAGGGCTGGGGACACAGAATTAGGACCCTAGGACATGGTTAACTGTATAATATCACAGGGATGGTCCTCACCCAACCAGCCCAACTTCTGCCTCCTTCAGTTTCCCAGTTATCTAGACCCCCAGCTCCAGAAGAATTTAAAGACCCATTCCACATGAAGAAGGGGGAAAAAAAAACCAGCGCAGACAGATACCCTCCCTATCCATGACCCAGGAGTCCAATAACTAGGTCCCTCCTCCCTCAGATCACAGAGGAGTCTAGGCCCCCCAGTCCCTTTCCTCCCCTAGACCCAGGAGCCTCCAGACTCCTCCTTCCCAATCCCAGGAAACCACGCCCCCAGAAAACAAGATTCTGAGCTCTCATCCTACTCCCTTAGACTAGAAATCCCAGCCTTTAGACCCCTTCTCCCTCAGGGCCTAGGAGTCCCAATGCCCAACTCCTCCTCCAAGATCCAGGAGCTCTTGACTCTCCCCTCTGCACGCATCCCCATCCCTCCTGGGAATGTAACCGAGTGGGGGGAGGTTTCTAGGGCGGGGTTTCTGGGGCAGGAAGGCGGGACTTTGGTCGCTGCAGCCAGGGGCGGGGCAGAGATGAAACGAGGCCCCCTGAGCCACTCCCTCCACACACAGCAGGTCAAACGGGTCCAGCTGGCCGGGTTGAAAGCAGTGGGGACTTTCACTCTGTTCTTTCCTTTCCTTCTGCCCCTGCGGGCAGCGGCATAACCAGTTCTAAGAGAAGATAATTCCCAACCCCGCCCAATTATGTGGGCTGTGTCCAAAGCCTGGGGCCAGGACCTTGGACTTGGGGGTGGGGAGGACGGGGAACTGAGGGCCCTGGGACCTGGGAGAAGAGATAGCAGGGTGCATGTACCCCTGGGTCTTTGAAGTGGTGCATCTGAGAATTTAGACAGTGCATCTCAGCACTCAGAGTCCAGATTCAGAAAAATGTTTATAAGAGGGCAAACCAGCTTCAGGCCAAAACCCAACATGATATCTAAAACCAGGAACAACACGGGATGTTTTAAGGAGGTTGCTCTAGAGCCTTAAATTCACTAAGAAGGAAATAGAACATAAGGTTGGGCATAGAATCTAGAAAGCTAGTGGCATGAAGACACAGTACAGAGTGCAGAAAGGACATATGCTTCCATATTTACAGTGTGCTTGGTGTAAGAACTGCACCTATGGCTAAGCACAGGGGCATTTGCTAGAACTGAGGCCTGGAACCTACAATTTATAACCAGCTAAGAGGAACTCCATAACCTAAAGAATGTCTGGGTCACCCAGAACTCTGAACACAGAGAGGACCATAATGATACCTAAGAGCACATCTAATACAATATATAACACACCTAGTTAGGAGTGTAATCTAGAACTCAGAATCTACTAGGGATTCTGTAATACACAACATAGCAGGGGTCACATTCTTGGTTTCATTATATGTCTAATGCTAGAACTCAGAAAGCAAAAGATGTGCTCTAGAATTCAGAACATGCCATGGAGGGGAAGAAAAACCTAGAAAGTACCAAGAAATCTGCCTGAAACTTAGAAGTGTCTGGAGGAAAATGCAGAAGGATACATGTTGAGAATTGAAATTTTTCTGGAATAAAGACTGAGCTGGCAAAGGAGGGGGAGTAGGTGTTCTGGAAATAAGCACATTTCTAGACTGAAGACTTCAAAAGAGGAGAGAACTTAGAACATAGTTAGAATGCCAAGTGGCAGATGGAGGAGAAAGCCCACAATCCACCAGGGGAAAAGTCGGTACTAAGGAAAAGATGGACAGAGAAGGTGGGAATGAGTGAGCCTAGAACATAGAACCTGAGGAAGGAAAATGTAATGTAGAACACTTCAGTGGGAATCTTCTAGATTTCAGAATGTGAAAATAGATGGCACCTAAACCAGAGAAGTGCATTCTAGAAATAATAGCAAAAATTGAAGAAAGACTAGAGCCCATGTAGCAACACATACATTCTTTAAGTTAGAATGCACCTGGGAAGAGAATGAAGTCTAGAACAACATAGCTAGAACCTAGAACACACATAAATGAAAAATTTTATCAGGAAATAAGTAATGACTGGTCCTAGAAATTTGGAACATGATTGAGGAGAGACTGAGATCAGAATTTGGCTTGAGGACATTATCTAGATATTTGAAAAAATAAATGAGAAAAGACATGCCCAGAATTTAGCATCTTCCCTAGAACTTAGACCATGCCTTGAATGAAGATGATACATAGAAGTGAAGTGGAAGTGTTCCAGAATTTAGAAGGAATCTTTAATGTAGAGGAATGCAAGGGCACATGTGCCATTAGAAATGTGGAAGACCGGCTCGGCGCCTGTAGCTCAAGCGGCTAAGGCGCCAGCCACATACACCTAAGGTGGTGGGTTCGAATCCAGCCCGGGCCTGCCAAACAACAATGAC